CATTGGAATCTTAACCTCTCTACCTGTGGATCTAATCTACTGTAATGCAATGGAATCATCTCCTATAATGCAATCTATATTGATATCTTCTATAATGTACATCACGATAAATGGAGAAAAGATTGAAGTTGTCAAGGACTTCAGTTTGCTCAGATCAACTATCAAAACTCATGGAAGCAGTAGTCAAGAAATCAAACAATCAACAATTAGGCAAATCTGCTGCACAAGATTCTTTAAAGTATTGAAGAGCAAAGATGTCAGTTTGAGGACTAAGGTGAGCCTGACCCCAAGCCATGATATTTTCAAGAACTTCATATGCATATGAAAGTTGGACAGTGAATAGGAAGACCATAGAATAATTGATGCATTTGAATTATGGTGTTAGAGGAGAATATTAAAATGCCATGGGCTGCCAAAAGACCAAACCAATGTGTGTTGATTGAAGATGTACAGCCAGACTACAAGAACTAGCAAGTTGTTCTCTGGGGAGTCATCAAGGCAAACAATCAAGTCCCTTCAAGACAAACCCCTCCCAAGACTAAAACTCAAAGAGAATACACGAGCAGACATGTAAGCTTGCTGATGACCACATTGGTCTACTGGTGAGTGGAAGAGGGGAGGAAAGCAGCAATAAAGAGTTGGGCTAAGTCCAACCAAGTTACATAGACCCCCATCGACCTGGAGTATGGTGAGAGCTGGTTGGTCCGAAGTATGGTGAGACCTGGGGGCTCCTGAGCCCACGGACAAGGACATGGTTACAGAGGACTAGAGCTGAGAGTGAAGTGTCCAGTTGATATGAAGTGAGGGGATATGCACAAGGGCGCCCAAACTTGAAGATAGTGCCCACTGGACCTAGCTTCAGTGGCTGGATGTTCAGAACTTTACTAGAGGAAGGAAAAGAAAAAAAAAAAAAAAAAATTTAAGAAAACGTGTAAATCGCTACAATCTGATGTACTTGACCTACCCTTATGGATGTAGTAGCTTAAAATACCAACCAAGAGGGAAAGAATCTTTACAGCAAGGATCATTCCCATCCCCTCTATACACAAGGTTGATAGGGATCGGTAACTTAGACAGTGGCTACCTAAAATGGGGGAGCTGTAAAAACATGAAGTGACTGGCTTACAAGTTTTCAAGAGGGAGTTTAGATCCAGAGTATGCAGGGAAAGGTAGAATCCCCACTGAGTGGTTTTCATCCTGTCTAGATGGGTCTAGTGAAAGGAGATGGGGACAAGACTCTCATGATTCAATAGTGAGTAATTGTTATCATGACTGATTGCAAATGTCACAACTGTAAAGGTAGAAGTTTTGTAGCAAAAAGGGGTGAGGACCCTGAGCAGAGCAGAGGACCCTGGGACCATCAAGGTTGAAGAGCGGGAGCAGAGTGTGGGACCCTATCCAGAGAAACATCAATGCCAGAGATTGAGACAGAGATGATGACATAGAGAGATGGAGCAGCTAGGGATTCTAGACTCATGGAGGGAGAGGGGATGTGTGCTGGTGGCCTGGGGTCAGGGTGTGCCCTTTAGCTGTTTGAATATTCCTGAGAGTTTTGGTGAACAGCCAAAAAAAAAAAAAAAAAAAACCTGAGGGAATAGAAGCAAATACTGTTGAATGATGAAGCATGCTGGGGGTTGTAATCATTGCAAACTGATATTCCCTCATGTAAACTATCACTCAATTCACAATAAAAACTTTAAAAAAAAAAAAAAGATGTACAGCCAGAATGCTCCCTGAAAACCGAGATGGCCAGACTTCGTCTCTCATACTTCACACATATTGTAAGGAGGGACCAGTCCCTGGAGAAGGACATCATGCTTGGTAAAGAGGAAGACCCCCAGTCCCCCAATGAGATGGATTGGCACAGTGGCAGCAGCACTGGGTCCAAATGTAGCAGTGACTGTGAGGTTGGTGCAGGACCGGGCAGTGTTTAGTTCTGCTGTGCATAGGGTCGCTATGAGTCAGTACCAACTGGATGGCACCTAACAACAACAACAACCTAATGTGGCAGTTGCTTTCTCCATGTTTTCATCAACTTTCTCTTTGTATCGTCCTTTTAACCCCTGTTGTTGTTGTTGTTGTTGTTGTTGTTGTTGTTGTTGTTGTTGTTGTTGTTAAAAGCCCTGGAGTCAGTTCTGACTCACAGTGACCTGTATAATGTGGACTGACCTTGTGGTTCAAACTGTCCTTGCAGTCAGGTGATTGCCCTACAACACCACACCACACCAGGACTCCCTTTTAACCCTCAGTGTTATAATATGTCATCAATTTTTTCTTGGGTTAACGTCGGTCTTCCCCACTAGGATGCTTCTGAAACAGGGACAGACACTTACAGAGGGAACTGGTTCTGTTATTTGGTAGCTTGTGGAGTTGCCCTTAGCCTCTGCCTCCTTATCTGTAAAATGGGCATGATAATACCCGCCAAGTGGAGTGTTGAGAAGAGCTGAGTTAATGCACAGTGACCAGACAGAGAATGTGTTCCATGAACAGTCACTGATACAATCTTTCTGTCCTTGTGTCAGCAGCATTCAGAATGAGTTCTCTTCTCTGAGGCTCCTGAACACCTCACACACATCCAGGGCATCTGTAAAATATCCGAGGAAAAGACAGCTCCACATTGGAGCAACAACCGCTCTGCAATAAAAGGGCTCAGCAGCCAAGTTGGGGCAGCCATAACTTTGAGGTGGAAGAAAAGTCCATCTCGATCTTTCTTCCTCTCTTCCTCCCATGCATGCAGCCCTTAGTCTACCTCCACTGGGCGGGCTGAGATGACCACTGTATGCAGACCCCACAGTCTTCCTCTGCCCATCTCCCACAGCCTTCTACCTGGTGTGTGTGAAGCAGGACGTCCACCCAGTCACCACAGAGCAGAGATCTCTCAAGGCAGGGATGACTTGAAGCACTTACAGGTGCAAGTCAAAGACTCATTGATGATACTTGAATGTAAGGAAAATGAGAATCCTTACAACAAGACCCATAAACAACATCATGATAAATGAAGAAGAAATTCAAGTTGAGAATGAGTTCATTCTACTTGGATCAACAATCACCATCCATTGAAGTGACAGTCAAGAAACCAAATAACGTATTGAATTGGGAAAATCTGCTAGAAAAAAAAATCTCTGTAAAGTGTTAAGAAGCCAAGATGTCACTTTGATGACTAAGGGGCACCTGCACCCAGCTGTGGTCTTTTCCGTTGCCTCATATGTGTGTAAAAGCTGGACACTGAAAAAGGAAGACAGAGACCCCAGATAAGGTAACTGGGCAGAGGCTGCCTGAAAATAAAGTGCCAACATATGGTATTTTGTTATTGCTAAAATATTTAAAGGGCTGTCAGAGTAGCGAGGAGGGCCTGCTGTGTGACTCTGAAGTGCCAAAGGAGAGACGAGTGGATGTTAGTGGGACAGATGTCCATCAAAGTAAGAGGAAACAGATAGGCTCAAAATGAAATGTGCTATCTTGCACTGGAAACATTGAAGCAGACATCTGTGAGAAATATTATAAAAGGAATTTCTAGATCCAAACCCCTTGAAGCCAACCACAAACAAACCCAGATTTGAATCCAGGTACCTGAAGTTAACCTTGGTGGCCGTGGGTAAGTTAACCTATTTGAGCCTCACAGTCCCTTAGGCAAAACAGGAATAATGGTACTTATCTTAAATGAGTGTTCTAAGGATTAACTCTGATCATATCCAGAAAGTGTCTTGAACCATAGATTTTCCCCTTCAAAAATCAGAAGTAGAGCTGTATCGCTTCTAAGATGTCTTCTGTGATGCTAAGAACTTCAGTGCACCCACAAAGAGACGCTGAGGAGGATAAACAAGCCCACCCACTGGCTGGTGAACAACAGGCTCCAGACAAGCACACAGAGAGAAAAAGGAAGCCTCCATCAGAGCAGCAAGATGGTGGTCAGACCGTAGGAATATAGGATGTAGCCTCCAGAATACTGCTTCTGACAGGGTTACCCTTTCCCAAAGCCAAACCTGACTCTATAGTCAAGTCTTGTTGGCAAGGCATCTGAGCGTGGGTCTCAACTTTTATTGTTTATTAGCATAACTTGGGGATACATTAAAAGTACTATCACTAGACTCTATCCTATCCCATTCTAAGGAGTACTCCTTAGAAGCGATGATGTCTGAGAGAAGACTTTGTCTCTCAGACTTTGAACATGTTAGGAGGGACTGGTCCCTGGAGAAGAACATCATGCTTGCAAAGTGGAGGGTCAGTGAAAAAGAGGAAGACATTCAATGAGATGGCTTGACACCGTGGCGGCGGCAGCAGTGGGTTCAAACGTAACAATTGTGAGATGGCGCAGGACAGGACAGTGTTTCGTTCTGTTGTGCATAGGGTTGCTATAAGTCAGAACTAACTCAACAGCACCTAAGAACAACAACAGCACCCTATTCCTATTAAACCGGAATCTTTGGGGTTGTGCCAAATACTGGTGCATTTGTTTTTGTTTAATTCTCTAAGTCTTCTAATGTTAAACAAGCTTGAAAACTACTGCATTAAAGGGAAGTATTGAAAAAACAGAAGGCATGGTTTTGAGGCTAGAAAATTCACAACTTCAACTACCACAAAGACGTGATACGGGAGGGTTTTGTGATGTTTTCTGAGAATGTGAAGGGCTCTTTATCAGAAGATGGGAAAACGCTATTTTACATCTTCCCTGGGGACTCAAGAGGAAATGAGTGAACTCAATTCTAAAAGGATGTAGAGATGTAAGAAAACCTTCCCTTCCAGTGACAGAGATGAGACAGGACAGCTGAGGGAAGATAATGATGGAAGTGTTTCCTCCCAGGGGCTCTCAGCTGAGCTGAGATTGGCATCCAGAGGAGGAGAGACTAAAATGGGTTCTTGTCCAGAAGTCCCTGACAGAATTCACTGGGTCCCCACTTATCTTCCGGTACACTTTGACTCCTTCATCTACCGCAAATATCACACCTTTCCTTGTGTCTTCATTTCACTTTGGAGTAACCCATGGCATCTCCCTCCTACAGGGATCTCAGAAAACATGGCCGTGCCCTTGCTGCCTGACCAGCTGGAAGAGAAGCTGCGCGTACAGCTGGAGGAAGAGAAGAGCAGGTGCCCTTCCTTCCCGCTACACACACCCTGACCCCAGTCCTGCAGGACCAGCCATGGGGCCACCTGGGGCTGTCCAGGACAGGGCAGAATGGTCATGACCTAGCCCAGGTGTGGAGCTACTCCAGAGGAGGCGATCTCACAGCTGGGCCCCCTTAAACAGCAGGAGCAGTTAGTGCTGCCTTTGAACAGGCAGATGTGAAACGCAGAAACCCTAGGCAGAAGGAGGTTAAAATGGAGCAGAAGGCCAAGCCAGGCCCAGAAGAGCCAGGATTCATGTTTCTAGGAGGGGTGTTGGCTATCTGCATCCACATCCTACCCAAGGTCCCAGGAAGCAGTTTGACTTGTCTACTGCTGCCACCTAGGGGTGTCAGCACGTATGACCACATTGCTCTTCCTCATGTCTGCAGCTTTACCCCGCCTCACTCCTGAAACCCCTCATCTGTAAGGAGTCATGCCGCCACATAGGGCCAATACTGATGGGACTGTTACTGATACATAGAACCTCACTTAAGGTTCTTAGTTCATTAAGCTTCTTAGTTCATTCGTTCATTTATGGGTCCAGTAAATGTTTGAGCTCTCCTTCAGGCCACGCAAAGCTTCTGGAGAAACCAAACAAATTAACTTCCCTGCCCTCAAGGAGCTAATGGTCATTCCAACACTAGACATAGGCTGGGCAGGCGTGTGCCCCAAGCAAACCACCCTGTCCACCTCCACTCACACACGCCTGCTGTCCAAGACTTGAAGAAACCAAAGGTTCATGACTAGTGCCCATCCAGGTCACTCTTGGTAACTGTGTGCCGTGTCCTTCTCCCAGGATGCCCTGCACTGTCCTCCTGAACTGTTGCCCTGCTCTGTGGGTACACCCCCTCAGCTGCCTCCTTTACTCTGTTATTTTTTTCTCTGTTCCCACCCATTCTTTTTAGTCTCTTCACTCCAACTCCATCTTCCCACCTTACGGTCATCTCAGAAGCTACGCTATCGCTCCAGCTTAACTACTGAACTGTTTCCTGTCAGACAACTTCGGACTCACTGACAACAGCATTCCCAAAGCCCACACTGGTCATTAACAAATATATTGAGCTTTGGTTCCTCAGCATGAAGATAAGACTGTTGAAACTGTGGATTCTTGAGTCAGTCAGTCTGAGTTCAAATTCCAAGTCTGTGTATTAACTCCCCATGCCTCAGGTTCCAAATCTAATAGCATCTTCTTCTTCACTGGGCTGTGAAGAGGATCCATTTAGTGTGTCCAGTGCCACGTCATTCTTGGAGAAGTGTTGTTTTCTCACACGCTGATCCATGAGCCTACTGAACTCATGCCTTGCTTTGTTTCCCTACGGTGTACTCAAACCCCAGAACCAATCCCAGAGCACCAGAGCGCCACTGCCAGGCTTAGAGGTACAGGATGGGCAGCCAGGTGACCAGCTCCCTGAGGTGGTTGGTTGGTGGTTTTGAGCCATCAAATCAGTTCCGACTCATAGCAACCCTGTACAGGGTTCCAGAGGCTATAAATCTGCATTGAAGCAGAAAGCCTCCTCTTTCTCCCACGGAGCAGCTGGTGTGTCCTAACTGCTGCCTTTGTGGTTTGCAGCCCGTCATGTCCCCCACTCCACCACCCTGAGGACAAGAGTCCATTTACACCCCTCCTTCCAGAACACTGAATTTTCTCTGATCTTGCCGCAGGTATAAGACAGCGTTTACTCGCCTGAAAGCCCTCAAGGTGGAGATTGAGCACTTACAGCTGCTCATGGAGAAAGCCAAGGTGAAGCTGCAGAAAGAGTTTGAAGCCTGGTGGGCACAGGAGGCCACCAACCTGCAGGTATGTATGGTCATCAGGGCATCTGGGGAGGAGGCCCACCATGCAGCCCCCAGGGGGACTGGCAGGAGGCAGAAAAAGCAGGGAATCCTCCCACATGTCCCCCTGCTTTCAGCCCCTGGCTGGTGAAGCAAGTAGTCTTGTCAGTCATGAGTCAAAAAAGGTGAGGGGTGCATTGTATCCTTACCCAAGTGCCAGCTATCACTAACCACCTTAAACATAAGACGGGGAGGGGTAGCAGCTCCCCAAATCAACGGATTGCCATGTGGCCCCATGCAATATTCTTCATTGATACCATATTCATGCAGCGTTGCATTTGTTCTTAATCTGTATACTAATTATAGAAAAACTTAAAATGCACAAAAACATAGAGGAGAAAGTAAAACTCACCGTAATCAGCACCGCAGGCTCCTGGTGTGGTGCTGCCGATCAGCACTGGAATGTGAACCACACGGTCAGCAGTTCAAACCCACCAGAGCTGCTCCTTGGAAACCCTATAGAGTCGGAATCGACTTGCCTCAGTTAACAATAGCGACAAGGATAACCATTGTTAACATGTCAGAGTGTGTTCTTTTTTATGCATATGTATCCTTTTTATATAAAATTGGAATCGTATTGGTCTTAAGGGAGCGTACGTGACTGTCTTTTTAATTATTTAATGTGACTATTTTTCCATTTTATTATTCTGCAGCATTGTTCGAATGGCTTTAGTGTTCCATCATATGTATATATTTTAATCTACTCAACCTATCTCCCTTTGATGGATATTTCGGTTATTTCTAGTTTCCCACTCTAAACCTATTTATATATTTTCCGTATCTCCTAGACAAAGTTCTAGAAGTTTCACATAACATTATGAAGGTTAAAATGACCCTTAGGAAGCATCAGTATAACACTTGGATTGTTCCTGAGTAACCCCTCAGCTGTGGTAGTGGTGGTTATGTGCCGTGGAGTCAGTTCCGACTCATAGCGACCCTGTACAAGGTTTCCGAGGCTGTAAATCTTTATGGGAGCAGAAAGCCTCATCTTTCTCCCGCAGAACAGCTGGTAGTTTCAAATTGCTGACCTTGCGGTTCACAGCCCGATTCATAACCACTATGCTACCAGAGTTCCATAACCCCTCAGCTGTAGAGTACAGTAAGAGGGATGAACTGCACAGAGTCACATCACAATGACTGGCATTGCCGTTACAGAGCATCTAACAAGCTGAGCCCTTCATTTTATGGATAAAGAAACTGAGAACCAGGGAAGGTATGTGCCCAAGAACAAATAGCCAAACAGTAGCCAGCATGCTATCAAGTGTCCACGTGGAAGGGCAAGAGAGAAGGCCATTTGGATAAACTTAAATACATAGAAATACAACGGAACTTCAAAACATTTGTGGGAAATTTTTATTATCATTTCATTCCATTTTTCCATAAAGTCCTGTCATACAAGGAAAGCCAGTTACACTAGAATTCAGTTATCAAAATAGTCTAAAGGCAAAACAAAGGTATAATAATAAATATCCTACTTTATTTGTTGTTGTTAAGTACCATCGAGTTGGTGCTGACTCACAGCGATCCTATGTAGAGTTTCCAAGGAATGGCTGGTGGGTTTGAACCTCCAGTAAGTCTATTGCTTGTCCTAAAGTGCCTACAAGACTCATTGCACATTAATTAATATGATCTAGGTGTTGGTCCGAAGAGTCCTGGTATTGCAGTGGTTGAAGCACTTGGCTGCTAACAAAAAGGTTGGTGGTTCAAGCCCACCAGCCTCTCTGTTGAGAAAAATGTAGCAGTCTGCTCCTTTAAAGATTTATGGTTGTTGTTGCTGTTAAGTGCCATCGAGTGGGTTCCAAATCCTGACAACCCTGTATTGGGTTTCTGAGGCTTTAAATCTTTGCGGGAGCAGAAAGCCTCATCTTTCTCCTGCAGAGAAGTTGGTGGAATCAAACTACTGACCTAGTGGTTTGCAGTCCAGTGCTTACCCTACAAAGCCTTGGAAATCCTATGGGGCAGTTCTAATTCTGTCCTATAGGGTGCGATAGGACAGAATTGACTCAGTGGCAATGGATAGTCATTAATGGGTAGAGGTGGTCCTAATATGGCTGCAGTTTCAAGAATTCTACCACACTGCAATGTGATTTCAAAACTACATGTGATATCTGTTGGTGACAAAGTCACAGCTATGCTAATACTCTGGTGGTTTGTTACCTACATTTATCATTGAAGGAAGTGCTAAATTTCAGGGAGAAGTCAGGGAAAATAAAAGCATAATGCTCCCCATCTGAGTTCACAACCGCCCGTGGATTTGGTCTGTAGACAAACTTCCTTCAGTCACAGCAGGTGCCCAAAGGCGTTCAGCCACTGGCCAGTGGGCAGGGGTCATGCTGTCCCAGGCTGACAGATTCACCTGGTAAAGAAATAGCCATTCCTGTAAAAACAAGAGCAGCCAAAGGTGGCACTTCTCTGTGTCCCCTGCCCCACTGGGTGACCCAGAAGCCAGATGACTGCAAACTGCATGGCAGGGTGCCCTGTTGCTGAGGAGCCAAATCCATGCTGCAACCCACAGCGGTACCTCGTACCTCATCAGAGCATGCGTGGTGATGAGACACTCTCTGACAGCCAAGCCATGCCCCCTCCCCCCACACACACACACCGCTCTCATGTTCTAACACAGAGCATCCTGCCAACGCTTAAAGATCAACCATGATGTAAGCCTTGCCTGTGCAACGTGTAAGGAGCCCCGTAGCACAGTGGGCTAAGTATTGAGCTACTAACCGCAAGGTGGGCGGTTCAAACCCACCAGAAAGATGAGGCTTGTCAGTTCCTGTGAATATTTTACAATCTCGGTCCTCTAGGGGTCGCTATAGAGTCTCTATGAGTCAGAATTGGTTTATGAGATCTCTAAGGTCCCTGGGAGAGTCCTGATGTGGCACTGCAGATTAATGCACCAGACTGCAAAGCTGTTTGAACTGTGAACTGCAAGGTTGGTGGTTCAAGCTTAACAGCTGCTCTTTGGAAACCCTGTTCAGGGTCACTATGGGTTGGAACCGACTCGACGGCACTTAACAACAACAACAAAGTCCCTGGGTGGTGCTAACAGTTTGTTCTCATCTTTTAGCAGAAAGGCTGGTAGTTCGTACCCACCCAGTGGTGTCACAGAAGAAACTCCTGGGAATCCACTTCTGTAAAGATGACATATGGCCAAGAAAGCCCTACAGGGCTCAGTTCTAGTCTGCAGCAGCTGAGGCCACTGTAGATCAGAAGCAACTCAATGGCCATGGGTTTGGTGGGCGTTTGGCTTGGTTTGGTTGTATGAGACCTATGTAAAGGGAAGAAGGTCACCAGTGTGCATGGATAGATTTTTCTTGACTCTGGTAGTGCATGTTTGGGACAAGTACAAGCTAACTAAGAAAGGATTTCTGGAGAATTGTTATATAACATTTTTTGTTTAACCACAAAAAGTAATCCATGCCTAAGTTGGAAAGCACAGAAAAGCACAAAGACTCAATCAGACATTACCCACAATTCTCCGCCAGGCTAAGACCCATGATGATGGCATTATAATGTGTAGACTTATTGTTCTTCATGGTAACTGTAGATGAGCAGTCCCCAGTTACGACGTCCCGACTTAAGTATAGCCCCTGCAAAACCTATTACATAGTAAAAATCCAAGATACATATAATCCTTCATAGTAACCAATGGGCACTATTTGCCAAATACATCAGAGCATTACTGTATTATCATGTTAAGGGTGTTTTGTGTATTTGAAAACATTTCTGTACTATTTTTATGCATAGGAAAGTACATTATATACTATGGACTAAGCCAAACATTCAACTAACTGACGTTAGATACAAACTGTACCTAACTGCAAATTTTACATATAAATTTGACTTAAATACAGACTCAGAATTAGAACACCTTTGTGGTCCTGGGACTGCCTGTATACCACCTTTAATAACTGGGTTTCCCTCCTTAGGCAATACATCGAAAATATTTCCCCATAGCATCAGATTCAAGCTAACAATCTGAAACTTCTTCTTGGGTCAACAGGCAAACTCTCCAGCTGTGAATTCACTTAATCACATGAAGCTGTCTCCCCAGACACCTGAATTCCAGCAAGAACAGCCCTGGACTCTCTGTAATAAAAGGTAAGAAGGATCTATGGTCATGGATTGGAAGATTTACCACAGCTAAGCTGTCAGTACCATCCACAGCAATCTAAATTGAATGTAATTTCCATCAAATCCTATTAGCCTTCTTTGCAGAAATGGAAAAGCCAACCATCAAATTTATATGGAAGGACAAGGGACCTCAAATAGCCAACACAATCTTGAAGAAGAATGAAGTAAGAGGACACACACGCCCTAATTACAGACCGTCTTATAAAGCTACAGTAATCAAAACAGCCTGTTACTGGTATAATGACAGGCATATAGACCAATAGAAGAGAACTGAGAATCCAGAAATATACCATACATCTCTGGTCAACTGATTTTCAACAAGGGTGCTAAGTCCATTAAATGGAGAAAGAAGAGGCTTTAATCAACGGTCCTGGTTAAAATTAGATTTCCACATGCAGAGGAATAAAACAGCACCTATGCCTCATATCACATACAAAAACCAATTCAAACTAGTCTGACAGACACTGGGGAAACCCCTTTGGATACCCTCAAAGTCTGGAACTGAATTCATCCACTGTAACTCAAGTTTCAGCCAAACGATAGGTCTATAACATGAACAGTAATAGCAGGAAGGTTCCCACTCCTTGGAACAATCAACCATACGAGATCAAGAGGACATTTTCCCAGAGATATAGCTAAGAAGGCATGAAGGGGTAGGGAAGAAGGACAAATGGAAACATTAGGGAGGAAGTGGGAAGAAGGCAGGTTTGGGGATTGCAATCAAGGGCTCAAAACAAAATGTGTATCAGTTGTTAAATGGAAAACCAAGTTACTCTGCAAACTTTCATCAAAATCACAATAAAAAAGTTAAAAAGAAACAAAAAAGATCACAGCCTAGGACACTTTATGGGACAGTCCTCCTCTGTAACATGGAGTCACTCTGAGTCAAAATAAAAAATTTTTGGAAAAAAAAATTCAAAATGCATCACGAACCAACTATGAAAACTAAAAGCAAGAAAGCCCATCGAGAAACCATAGTGGTGTGGTTGTGGGATCTAGGTTTTAGCACAGGTCTATCAGCACCAAAAGTATGACCAAGCTGCAAAAGATAACACCGACAAATGGAATCTCTTAACAATTAAAAGGAGTCCTGGTGTGGCACTGGACCACAAGGTCATCAGTTCAAACTCACCAGCTGCTCCTTGGAAACCCTATCCAAGGTCAACTAGACAACACTTAACAATCACAACAATAACAATGAACTAATTTTGTTCATCAAAGGACTTTATCAATAAGGAGAAGACACAGATTGGGAGAAAAACTTGGGAACTCATATATCTGATAAGGATTTGATATCTGAAATATATTTTGAAACTCCTACAACTTACCAAGAAAAACACAAACAACCCAATCAAAAAATGAGCAAAGAACTCGAATGGGCGTTTATTTGATCAACAAAAAATATACAAATGGCAAAAAAGCACATAAAAAGATGCTCAACATCATTGGCCATTACCAAAACCAAACCAAACCTACTGCCATCAAGGTGATTCTGATTCCTGAAGACCCTACAGCATTGACCCACAGGGTCTCCAACACTGTAATCTCTACAGAGGCTGACTGCCGCATCTTTATCCTGATGAGCAGTTGGTGAATTTGAACCGCTGACATTTTGGTTAACAGCTGAACACTTAACCACTGCACCACCAAATTTCCTTCCACGGACCATTAGGAAAGAGTGTAAATCAAACCCACAGTGAGGTACCACCTCACCCCCACTAGAAGGCTATGACACAACACACACAGAGAAAGGTTTGGGCAAGGATGTTGGAAACATTGGAACACTCAGCCACTGCTTGTAGGAATGCAAAATAGTACAACTGCTATAGAAAACAGTTTAGTAGTCCCTCAAAAAGTTAAACATATGCTACCAGTTTGTTGCTATTATTGGTAAGTGCCATCAAGTTGATTCCAACTCATAGCGACCCCCTATGGGATTTCCAGGGTTGTGACTCTATGCGAGAGTAGGAAGCATCATCTCTCTCAAACTGCCAACCTGTGGTCCACAATCCAGTGCTTATCCTACAGAGTTACTGTGCTCCCCTAAAACTCCCCTATGATTCAAAAATTCCAGTGATATGTATATACCCAAAAGAATATATATATATACCCAAAAGAATCAAAAGCCGAGTGCATCCAGAAATCTCCACATGACCATTCCATGAAGCACTGTTCACAATAATCAAAAGGTGGATGCAGCCTGAATGCCCATCAATGGATGGGTGGATAAACAAAATGTGGTAGGTACAAGCAATGAAATCTTACTCAGCCATAACGAGTAATGAAGTCCTGATACATGCCCCAACATATATGAATCTTGGAAACAGTATGTCCAGCGAAGTAAGTCGGCTGCAAAACAATAAACAGTGTGTGATCTCACATCTATGAAACAGGCAAAAAGACAGAAACTAAAGTTTATGACCAGAGGTGAGAGGGACAGGGAAAGGTGAAAGAGATTGCATAGTGGGTGCTGAGTTGATGTCAGTGGTGGGGAAATTCAGAAGAGTAATAATGGTCACACAACATAGATAATGTTACCCGTGTCACTAATGTAACTCACGTAAACATTGTTGAGTTGGCAACTACTTTGCTGTGTATATTTTTAACCACCAAATCGAAAAGTAAGGAGGAACTCCACAACAGTGTTGGAGCATCGGAAAAGACTCCCCGTCTGTTTCCCCAACCTGGTTTTGCTGCTCTAAATAACTCCTTCCAGGCTGCAGGACCAGGGAGGATCAATCACCTCCAGGGTGTAATTAGTTATAGATACTGAGGCAAGTGGCTTTGAAGCTCTGAACACACCCTGCTGTATTATTTCCCTCACTGCTACGACAGCCCATGGACCTACTGCCATGGTAACAAGAGACTTAAAGGTGCAAGTCCAGTCCCTTCAAGCCAAGTGCCTGTGTTGGAAGATGGGATTGGCAAAGGGTGAGGGAAGAGGGTGGGAGAGGAAGGGGACTGGGGAAAAAAGGGGATGTTTGGTGGTGGAGCAGGAGGTAGCCTGCCCGGACATGGAGTATCTGAAGTAAGTGTCTGCTGTGGTCCTAGCAAAGACACAAGTGAGAGGGAGGCAGCTTCTCATACCTCCATATGAAGATGGCCCTGCTCCAGTTCCTTCCCCTCACACCAGCCACGGTGCCGTCTCTCTAACCATGCAAGCCCAGGTAACAAAGCTCATGGCACATGCCTCCCACCCTCCTCCACCACTGAGGTGCAGTACTGTCATGCCCAAGGCCTGGATAGCCCAAGTGGACCTCAGCCCCCACCACAAAATAGCACTCCGTTGACCGGAATGGACAGGAGCTGAGCTCTCACGTTGGAAATGAGAACTAGAGCTGTATTTGAAAAGGAAAAGCCCAGATGGTATGAACCCTCAATATAGTGTGTACCCCTGATGAGAAGGCACTTTACCTCCCTGGTCTCCTCAAAAACCTTGAACCCAAGTGCAATCACGAGCCATGCCAATAGAGGGACATCCTACAAAATGCCTTGGCCAGAGCGCCTCCACCTGTCAGGGTCATCCACAACAAAGGACTGAGAAACTGCCACCGCCCCAGGGAGCCTAAGAAGACAGGAAGCCTCAAGGCCATGCATGTCCTGGATGGGGTTCAGAAAGGGGACATTAGGGAAAACCTGAGAAAATCTGAGAAGGTGGTGTTAGCTAATAATAACGTGTCCGTGGTCGTTCATTAGTTAGAGCAAACAGATTATATTTATTGTAAGAATACGGAGTCCTGGTGACACTATGGGTCAGGCATCAGCAGTTGAAACCCACCAACCATTCTGTAGGAGAAAGACGGGGTTCTGTGCTCCTGTAAAGATTTGCAGTCTCGGAAGCCCTATGCCGGCTCCAGTAATAGAATGGGGAAACTGGGTCTCGGGTATATGGCAGCTTTCTGTACTCTCTTTGCAACATTTCAGTAAATCGAAACCATTCTAAAAAATTTTAATCCTATTTGTTTAAAAAAAAAACTTAGAGCCAACAGTGAGCCCTCTACCACCTGATTACCATTACTCTGAATGTACCCACTTCACCCAAAGCAGCTCATATTCTAGTTATAGAAAACTTCCGTACGTGAGCCCCTAAGACAGGAATCAACACTGATGAGGTGTGTTTTGGCTGGCTTACCTGGTGCTGAAAAGGCGACAGGTGGTCCATGGCATTGCAGGCAGCTTAGCATTAGTACCCTACACCTGGACCCCTGTCTATTCACTTGGGGTCATGAGTTGAATTGTGCCTCCCCACTCCACCCCTCCACACACACACACAAAGCATAGATGTGTCCTATCCTCACCCCAGTACCTGTGACTGTGATCTTATTTGGAAATTGGGGGCTTTACAGATGAAATTAAGATGACTTCAACACATCCTTGTTTTATTGTGTCGTTGTTAAGTGTCATGGAGTCAGTTCTGACTCACAGCGATCCCGTATAAGGTTTCCAAGAAGCAGCTGATGGGTTTGAACTGCCAACCTTGCAGTTAGTAGTCCAGTAAGTATCCTACAGCGCTACATCAGGACTTCTGGTTTTAGAGTGGACCTAAGCGTAATGGTTACGAATCAGGCTATGAACTGCAAGGTCAGCAGTTCGAAACTACCAGCTGTTTCGCTGGAGAAAGATGAGGTTTTCTGCTCCCATAAAGATTTGCAGCCTCGGAAACCCTGTATAGGGTCACTATGCATCAGAACCGACTCCACGGCACATAACAACAACAACACATATAAGAAGAAGGAGCTTAGACACACAGAGACACAGGGAAGAAAGCCATGTGAAGACAGAGATTGGACTGATTATCTACAAGCTGAGGAATCCCAAGGCTATGAAGAAACATGATTCTCCCTCAGAACAGATTCTCCCTCAGAAGCTTCCAGAAGAAGCCAAACCTGCTAAGAGCTTGATTTCAGACTCCTAGCCTCCAGAACTGTGAGAAATAACTGTCAGTTTTTTCAAGCCCCTTGAAGGTG